CAAATGTGTAATCCCTTTTCCCTGACAGTGAGATACAGCAAAATTTTAGTTGAAATGCACCTGATCAGCATCTCCTTTTTATTTCTCACAAATGCTGCTCCCTGATTTCTTGCTATTCCTCCTAGTTTTGACTATTGTGAAATTGTAATTGCCTCCTTTATGTCCTCTTCAGCAATGAAACTCATCTTTTCCACCTGCAGAGAAACCTCCCTGAAGGAAACATCCCAGTGAGATGGGAATTCCTTTCCCTGCTGGCATTTGGAGCTCCCCTCCTGCTAATGCCTGTCATTTTCTGTGTTAGAATAAATAACAATGAAATGTTTTGTTAGAATCAGTAAAATCCAAACGGGATGGAAGTGAAGCTGGCAGCTCCAGGGAAGTGGGGATGTGTGAGAAGTTAAACCATGTCCAAGTCTAGCACCCAGCAGCAGGAGATGCTAAAACTCTTAAAATAGAAAGGGAAGCTGCAGACTGGAGAGCCCCTGTGCTCTGATCATTTCTGGAATGAAGATGATCCAGTTTGGAGCAGAAGCCACTTGTTCTGACCCTGCATAAATTACATTTCATCCTGGAACACCACGGAACCCACTTTTGTTCTTTGTCTTGCAGAAACGCTCAGGTGGGAGAAATCCTGGTGTTTTTCTTCCTGTCACCTGCATCCCCTCAAGAAGCAGTTGGAGAGGATAAATATTTCTTCCTTGAAGAGCAGTAGAAAATCCAAGTGAGAAATTCGAACCTCAGCAATGTTTATTTGGAGAGAGAACAAATTCTGCTGAGAGGTTTTGAAGGGATGGAACTGCTTAAATCAGAGGGAGATATTTGCTAGGACTGGGCAAGAATAAGGGGTAAACATGGCAATTCAGAGATATCAAAGCCACAATAAACCAGTCAGTCAAAGGGGCTGCAGTGAAGCTTTATACAATATTTGTCTGGTTGATAACACTGCTTACTGTATAAATAAACATCCAAGTGAACCTTTTATTGCTTTGCACACATGTTTTCCACAGCTGACAAATGTGGCTGTTTCTGTAGCTGTAAATCCTCCTGCAGATGCTGCTCTCAAAGCTGCTCTTTGTCGGAATTATAAATGCACCCTGTTCTGAGTTTATTTGTAAAATTATCCCTCTGAACCTGAAGTTCTCTGTCTGGCTTTGTTGCTTGTTTTTTTTTTTTTTTTTAACAGCTACAAATGTGCAGATCGGTTTCTTTCCTTGGAGCTGTTCAATGCTCAAATGTTAATTTTTAGGCAGAGGGGATTGCCAGAGTGTCACCAAGTGCATCCCACTGGCCAGATGCAACTTCACAAGTCTTGTTCAGAATTTTCCTCTTTCTCACCATTTCCCCTGCCTTTTTTTTCTTTTTTTTAATCTCATTCCTTCTCTTTGAGTTTATTTCTCTCAGTTTCTCTTTCTACCTGACCTTCCCATTACACCTTCCAAATTTAAAAGACTTTCCTTTTCTTCTTATGGGTCTATTTCCTTATCAGAATTATACATTTGCAAGTCTTGCTTAAATTTTTTAAACACCTACTTTGCTTATGATGATAAGACTTCCCTGAGAAATAGATTTCAGCTGGTGAAAAAGGCTTAAAAGTTTAAGCCTATGGCTAGGATTCAATTATCATAAAATATTCCTAACTGTAGATTATTTTACATATAAAACTCTGGGAAGTGGGGGCTGCAAAATGTGGAAATACCAGATGTGTCCTCCAGCTGCAGTGAAGTTTGGTTGGATTTTTTCCCCCCATTCCTCAAGGCTCCTCAGTGGTTCCACAGCAGCCTAATGTGTTTTTGTTGTCCCAAAATTGATGTTTTTGGACACTGCAGAGATGTGCACCACCATCAGGAAAAGCACAGAGATAAATCTTTGCAAAAGTTTATCCTTCAAATCCAATGAGATATTTTTGAATGTTGTTGTAATAAATCAAGACAAATGCATATTGAAAGAATCTGTAACCAATATTTGTAAAAACCAGCCTTATTTTGAGTGTTTGGTGGTGCTGGATGAAGGAGTCAGATTAACTTAATGTTTTTGGAAAATGCCTTGCTGAGGATTCTGCCCTCAAAGTGATTTTCATGGTAGAAAAATGGGAATAACCAAGGTGTAGGGATTGTCTCTGGGATAATACTTTGTTATGTCCCTTAGAAAAACACATCCATTTCTTTTTGCATCTCAGGAAGTTATGGCAAAGTTTCCACGGGGAATTAAGGGGTCCTTGAGTTGAACTTTCTGCTGAATTTTAATTTGGTTCATTATTTTACTGTCATTTAATAAAATGCATTATTCTTAATTTCCTGTCCTAACACTCAATGCAGAATTCCCATGACAATCCATAAAAATTGTGCTTCATACAACAGATAAATATGATTTTGGAGCACTCAGGATGGATAGTATTATAAATGTATTTACCTGTTGAGTCAAATTTAAGCAGAATCAATAATTAATAACAATATTAGCAAAAGTTTACCCTTATCATTTCCCATTTTATTTCTCCTTGAAGCTCTGAGTGGGGAAGCTCTGAAAACAGATAAAGGATCGTTTTCCCTGGTGAAATTTGAGAGTGGATTTTCTGAGGGATGACACAATCTGATGACCTCAGTCTGGCTTGGATCCCTCAGCAGTGACATTAAATGAGGCCACTGCTGTAGGTGACATCACATTTTCCTGGCTTCAGCTTTTGTCATTTTGGATTCCATAACTCTGCTGGCAGGAACGCAGGGTTGGATTTGCTGCCGTGAGCAGCTTCTTTCCCTGCTCTCACTCTGCATCGGGTGGAAGAAGGAAAGGTGAATATTTGACTGCCTAAATTGGCTTTCAGCATTTGCCAGGATGCAATGTGTAAATATTTGTAAAAAATTGAAAGAATGAAAATTCCTAGTGTTGGCAGAAGGTTGGCCGGATTGTACCTTCAACAAAAATATCTCAATGCATGAGATCAAAGCACAGCACACGAAGCTACTTCTGCACAAATATATTTTAGAAATTGTGCTGGTAATTCTGACATTATTTGATGCCCTCTGCTCATATCTCACTCAGCAGTCTAAAATGGGAAATGGACCCACCCAGGGCAGGGGAAACTTTTTAATCCTGGATATCTTCCATGGGTTTGCAAATAACTGCATTCAGTTTCTCTCTTGATATGGACTGGAAAGGTTTGAGACAATGACAAATTTGGTTTTATCTCAAATTCTGCCAGCCCAAGCAGTCTGAGGGCTTTGTGCTGCAGAGAGCCCTGGGTTGTGCAGGGTGAAAATGAGGTGAGAGAAAGGGGGGGTGGTCACAAATTGAGAGAGATGAGACTCTAAACCAACAAATCTACATTTGCTGCACTGCAGAAATATTCTGTCTTTTGATCTTGTAGGTGGTTTTGGTGAGACATTTTGTCATCCTGCCACTACTTGCCAATCACTTGGCTGGAAAACACGGTGTTCAGCAAACCTGAGAATATCCCCCACCCCCTTGGGATGTCGAGTTCCTTCAGCTGCAATTCCAAGATCTCAGGATGGTTTCAGGGAACAAACAGCAATTTCCTCATTGTCTCACCTGAAGGTGATGCAGATGTTTGAAATCCCCGTGCCTACTGCACAGATCAGGAGCACTAAACATTTCATCTTGATTTCTCTTCAGTACCACCTACTTCCTGGAAAATTTGGAAGCCTTGCATTTACCACTTCAAATTCCCTGCCAAGTTCCTTTCAGATTTTTTTTATTATTATTTTTTTCCCCTGCTCCATTTTTGTCTCACACGTTTATTATATGGTGACAAATGCAGTTTTCTTCTGACACCACATAATAGATGTGTGAAGAACACACACATGTTCTAGTAAGAGACTGCTCTTTATTTCCTGGCTCCAGTTGCAAAACATGAGTCAGGGTTGGAAAGGTTGTGCTTCTGTCAGAGCTGTGGAATCCACGTGCTTAAACTTTCCTGAGTTTTGCTGTAGTCATGGGGAAAAATGGCAAATCTCATTTTTATATTTCTATAATCAGTGTTTTCTCCTCCCCCAGGCACATCAAATCTTCATTTTATAATAGCCATTCCCATGTGTTGATTATATTTACTCATTTCAGGCACTGATGCTGTTATTAACAGAGAAAAAAACACCTCCAGCTTCCAAAACACAGATAAAAGTACTCTCCTATAATTCTGGCTTTAATAAAAAAAAAAAAAGAAACATTATTTTAGTGGTGCATTTGCTGTGGATTTCAAACACTTTTTTCCCTCTGCACCAAGTGATTTCTTCTGTTCTGCTGCATAATTGCAGGTAACAACCACCCAGCATCTCCACAAGACTCCGGTGACACAACATTCCTTGTTTGTACATCCCAGCTTCCACTGTTCTGTGCATTTCTGTGGGGGCCCCGGTGAAACACCAAATCAGCTGAGACCTTTTGTGAGCTAGAGTGGAACAAGCCCCATGTTACAAGTGAAAACAAAAACCAAGGAAAACGAGCAGGCAAAAAAAAAAACAAAACCAAAAAACAAAACCCAAAATAAAAAGAGAGAACTGAACACATCATCACTTCCTACTGGATGCAGCTTTGGAATGCCACAGGGCTGGCAGTTGTTCTGCAGATACCCAGGGGTGATTGGAAGCAGCAGGACCATGGTGCTTCCATGTTAATCACAAACACAGTTTTGCATTGAGTTTTTTTGTTTGTTTGTTTTTCCCTAAGCAATTTTATCCCACAAGATCCCTGTGGTTGAGCTGCTCCTGCAATAGAATGACAAATAACTGGGTGACATGCTGTGAAAAATTTAGAAAATGAGAGATGCTATCCCATTTTCCAAACAGAGCAGAAAGAACACTAATTCCGTTAGGCAAGATGGAGCAAACAATTAAACTGGGCATGCTTTTAATTTTGGAGCTCACCAGAGAACGGACGCCTTTTTCAAATGTAACGACTGTGGAAGTGATTCCTTTAAAACGAAGCAAAACCACTGATTTTCCTTGCTGAAATGAAAGCATTTACCTCATACAAAGTATAAGAAATGTTACCTGTTGCCTCCACCATTCCTTCTAGGATTACAACAATTTCTAGCTCCTCTTTGGGCAACTGGGCTTTGGAAATCTCCCAGAAAGGACTCTGCTGGTTAATCTCATGGCTGATGATCAGTGGTGAAACCAAAAAGAGACGATCATCCCCTGTGTAATAACCTACGTTGATATCTGTCTGGTTGAGTGGTATAAATTCCCCCTCCTTTGTCTGTTTGGATTTGATCAACTTGGCTCGTATTGATGCCTCTACAATGTGTGAATTCCTAAGGTCTCCTACTCGGAACATCAGACACAGCTTTCCATCCCGCATGGAAATGACTGCGTTTGTAGAAAAAACCAAGGTTTCTGCCCTCTTCTTGGGTTGGGATATTTTCACAAACATGCAGCCAACCATGAAGGCGTTGACGATAGAACCTAGGACAGACTGCACTAAAAGCAGGATAATTCCCTCGGGACACTTGTCCGTGATGACCCGGTAACCGTACCCAATGGTGGTTTCGGTCTCGATTGAGAATAAAAAGGCTGAGACAAACCCATTGAGGTTGCTGACGCAGGGGGTCCACGTGCTGTCCCCTATGTGATCCATGTCCCCTCGCATGTAGGCAATGAGCCACCAGATCATGCCGAAGAAGAGCCAGGTCACCGTGTAAACCATGACAAAGATCAGCAGGTTGAACCTCCACTTGAGATCCACCAGGGTGGTGAAGATGTCAGTCAAGTACCGGTAAGTCTCTCTGACATTCCCGTGGTGGACGTTGCATTTCCCATCTTTCCGAACGTACCTCTGGATTTTCCTCTTGGCACATTCTTTGCTGATGTTTTTTGGCAGATCCTCTCTTGCTTGTTTGGGCAACTTTGGTTGGTGGATTGTGACAGGGCTCTCGATGTCCTGCTCCATTGAGTCTTCTTCCAGGACGTTGGCTGCCATGGAAATAAAAAAAAAAACATGGAAGAGTCATTATCCCTCTTTTTATTGCTCTAAGTCAATACATAACCTTTTCCTGTGTTAATCAACAAAATGATCATCCTGATTCTTTGCTAACACAAAAATCAGATGCCAAGCACTCTCATTTTACTGCTACGCAGAAATAAAATGAAAGCAAACTCCTCTTTCTTATCAGGCCATCCTATCCACACCCATATTTAAATTCCACAAGATGGGTTTACGCAGATATTCCTTCCCCCCTCGCCCCTTTGCAGTTTAATGAATGAAATTTTTTATGCACCAAGAAAGATCTTACGGAGATAAAAGATATAGATGAGGGAATGGATTCACTTGGGGCTGAGCAGAGAAAATGAGCTATTGCTGAGCTATTTTTTCCCATCAATTGCATTGCTGTGGGGAAAGTATTGAATAAGTACAAGGAGGATGATTTTTTATTTTTTTTAAAAGCCAACAGTTTTTAGAAAGAACCAATTCTCCTCTTGTGGAAGGGAAGTTGTAATATCTATCAAGAGCAATTCAAGCACACTTCCACAGAAAATCAATGTCTTGCTGATAACGAGACAAGGAATTGTGTGTCCTTCTCCCAGCAACGTAAAACCTATGGTACTTCAGATTTCATTTGAATTCACTGTGCCTGTGGCCTTTAATTCAAGTGTACCTTGTCCTCTAATGATCTGGGCTTTTCTTTTAGTTTCCCAGCCTTTGGAGATAAATAGCTTTATTATGGTTGTGTGCCAGGGAGAAAACGAGTGTACTGAGGAGGAGAGTGGTTTAATCGAATGTGTTTTGCATGGAGCACATGGTGAGGTCTCGGGTAATTGTTGTTTTCAGCTGAAATCCTTCTGTTTTCTGGGGCTTCTTCCTGCAGGAATTTCAGCTCTTGAATTCATAACTCTTTCCCTTCTGGCTAGCTGCTGTCATTCTCCTGCCAGACTTTAAAGGGAAAAGTCTTCTGGTGGGTCTGCCCAGGTTCTTGACTCTGAATACAGAATTTCAGAATGGTTTGGGTGGGAAGGAACCTTAAAATCACCCAGTCTTCACCTCATGCTATGGTCAGGGACACCTTCCACTATCCCAGGTTGCTCCAAAACCTGTCCAGCCTGGACTTGAACACTTCCAGGGATGGGGCAGCCACAGCTTCTTTGGGCACCCCGTGCCAGGGCTTCATTATTCTCACAGGAAAGGATTTATTCCCTATATCCCATCTTAAAAGCAGCACTGCTGTGATTTTGTACCATTCTTTGTGGAGTGTTGCACAAGGGGCTACTCTCAGAAGGTTAGTGTGGCTCTGAAAGTCTCTTTCACTCCTAGAAACATATGCTGTGCAGCAGGTCCTGTGTGGAGTCTCACAGCACCTGCAGCTTTCTCAAGATGTGCAGGTTCATCCCCGTAGAGAAAGATCACAGCCCCTTGCAGAGTTTTATTGAGATATTCAGGGGGGAAAAAGGGCTGTAACCTGGTTGTCTCTCCTCCTGACCTGCTCCTCTTTCAAAGAAAGTCTCAAAGCCTTAGAGTAGCCCAGAATCTGAGAGCAATTCCATGTTTGCAGGCCATGCACCCCATCCTGTCACCTTTTCAGTTTGGTGTGTCTCAGGAGAGCCTTAGCAGGGCTGCTGTGAGCTGTGTGACAGGGTCCTGGGTGTGAGAACCCCAGCCTTGCTCTGGGGTCTCATAAGGTGCTGAAATTCCTCCTCCAACCCGTGCTTCCAAGGAAAAGCTCCACAGGCTTTTGCTGTTTGGTCTCAAGGCAGTTTATTGTGAGTTATCTAAAAGATTTTCTTCTCAGGCTGTGGCTGCTTGGTCAGCGGCCCAGGCAGAGGCACACACACACCCTGACATCCTCTCTGTCTGCTGCTTTCTTCTCTCTCCCCACCCAGGGCTACTGCTCTCTTTGATATGGTACATTACGTGTTACATGTTTATAATTTTCCCCCAATACCTACTACCTATATTACAAAGTGCTTTTCTACTCTAAACCAATCTGTGAGTGCCAACATCACCAAGAACATGGAGGCAAGGAAGAAGAAGGAGGAAGAACAGGATCAGCCCACTTTCCTCCATCTTAGAACTTCTGACCCCCATGTACAAAGTGAAAACCCCCTGTACAGGTGCTAAAACCCCCCTGTACAATACTAAAAAAATTTCCCCTCTACTTTGTAATTACTTTTACTATATTATTTAACCTTTTGTGACTGCTTGTTCCACCTCCAAAGTTGGTAACTCATTCCATGGCTCAAACTCAAAATCACAGCTGTTTCCAGCTGCCTGCTGGGATCTAAAATTCTTCTGACCAAGGCCTGGAACCTCTAAAAATGTCTGAGGGACATTTTGAGTTCCCACACCTGGGTTCCAAATGGGCTGTCCCAGTCAGTGACAGTGTGCCTGCTTGCATTATCCCTGATGCTGGGGAAGGCGTGACAAAACACAATCCAAAGGCTTTGCAGGGTCTTTGTGAGGCAGAATAAAGCCAAAGCCAGAAAATCTGAAGTTAAGGCTTCACATTTTCTGCTCAGCTCTCCGCTGTGCCTAAGGAAATTCCAGTCCACAGGAGCTATCACATCACTGCAGCAACAGAATCCTCAAATAATTATGAACAACCTCTGAAGGCTCTGGCTTTTGAGGCTTTATGTTAAACTACTAATGCTGATATAATGGGGTTCATTATCTTTCAGGCATTATAAATAATTTGCTTTCCCCTCCCCATCAGAGCCTGGCAAGGACACAGAGACCAGGAGTGGGAGAATCCTGTTGGTTTAGAGAATGTTCCTTACTCCTGGTCCTGCTGTTAAAGGGAATCATGTCCCAAACCTCCCTGTCTGAGCATCCCTTAGCAGAAATTATCCTGGGAGGGGACCCAGGTGCTGATTTTATTCCTGGCAGGAATGTGAAGGGACATCCCAGGGCTGCCCTCCCACCACAGCACTCCTGCTTTCCATACAGTGTTTGTTTCCTATGGAGCTCTTTTGAGCAGTGAAGCACCTTTTATTCAGACAGAATTTTTTTACTGATGATTTCCAAACGCTCTCTGTGAATTTTGTGCATCACAAACAGCCTGGCCTGGCTTCACAGCAGAGAGAAGGGCCACATTTTGTCAAGAGTCCATGGGTTTTGTGGGAGCAGGGAGCTGCTGTCACAGCAAGTGGGATAAGCTTGTGACAATTCCAGCGTGGGAGGGTTTTTCTTCATCTGGAGAAATTGTAGTGGAGCTGGTTCAGTCTTTGTAAGGGGGCAGCTTTGGACAACAAACCCAGGGTTTAACCAAGGTCTCTCTCATTACAGCATTTATTTGACACCCTTGAAGACATTTCAATCTTCCTGAGGGCATCTGACCATTTCTAAGCTCTCCAAGCTCTCCCCAGTGCTGTCGTTTTTCAATTCTCAAGTCTCCGAGAGGAAAAAATTAAGGTCAAGTTTTTTGTCTTTTTTTTTCTTTTTTTCAAGATGCCCTTTCCTTTTTTCCCCTCACCCAATCCTGCTATGAATGAATTCCTTTGTGGAGAGGTTTCTGGATCAGAGCACAGTTTTTTACCCTCTCCTGGACTGAGTTTTCACTCCAGAGAGAACCTTGGGAGCAGCAATTCCCAAAATAAGTGATCCAAAGGTTATGCATCTGTGTGTTTCCATGGAAATGCTTGATGAATAAGTTTTAAACACATGGCAGGATCCCTGTTCACCACTGAGGCTGAGGAACAGCCACATACTGTCAGTGCCTTTGCCACAAAATACTTTGACTAATTATATTTTTACTTGATATCAACCCAATTAACTTCTGCTGTTTATTTAATCTAATTTTCCTTTTGGTTACATAATGGCTGTCATGGATCCAGGAACAGGGGAGTGAGTAGCAGCAGCCTCACTTGAGAGCTATTTTTGCTCTCTCTGCTTTTCTTCCTTACAAAAATATATACATATTATTAATCTGCACTGCAAAAAAAAAAAAAAAAAAAGGTATTTCTGAACTCTTCCTCCTCTCCCAGTGAACATTATGTTTGTTTGAGCACAACAGCCAGGTAACGAGCCAATTCAGGCCAATTTAGAGGATTCTGTTAGAATTTTCTGCTTTGGTTACTCTCTGAGGCAAAACCTACAAGACGTAAGAGATTTCAGTGATTTGTTTAATTTCCCAGCAAATGACAAGGAGTTCTGCTAAACAAGTCCCTGAATAGTTCACTGGTGTCCTGGCTGTGGCCAAATTAGCTAATTAAGTGTGCCCAGACTTATTATTTAGCGTGGAGGGTAAAGAGTGGCGCAGCCACACTTGGATTATTGAACTCCAATTGTTTTGCAGGCAGGTTACTGTCATACAATCTTCCAAACAGGAATAATCTGTGTCCTGAAATGGAGCCAGGAATTGTGTGTGCTCAGTTCTGCACTGGTCCAAATCATACCAGGGGCTTTTCCAGAAATTTCACCTTGCAGGGGGTTGTGTGCTAGCGCTCAGAACATTTTATTTTCTAGTAAAATTGCAGCAAGTGTTGTTGTCATGTTCTTGTCTACTCCAAAGCAGCACTGGAAAGGCACAGTCCTGATTTTCCAACCACATCCTTTTATTTAGAGCCTGTAGAACAACATGGAACCAGAGTCAACAAGAAAACAGGACAAGAGACACTCTCTTCCTTTGAGGCTGAGAATGTAACACATCAATATGACCCTTAAGCAACCATCCTGTCGTCAGCAATGTGATTTTGGGAGTATTTTGGTAATGCTGCAGAGAACTCGTTGTGGTGTTGTGCAAACACAAAGCAAAAAGAAGAATATGAAGGGACTGCTTGTCCAAATTAAGTACTGTAGGATTATTTTGGTTGTGTATGGTTTGCAAAATAATGAGGAGTTTCAAGAGAGAATATTGCAAATCATAACTGATCTTTCTGTAACAGAACCTGACCTGGAAACTTCTGTGGACATTTCCCTGCAATTTAGTGATTTTAACTCTTGTAACACAGTTGCGAACATTTTATGTGCAAATTCATTGAAA